CATTGATTATAAGCATAGAAATCAAGAGATTAATGAGAAGTCTCAAGCTAAATTTGAGAAAGGGGAGAGTTCTAGAACAGGGAAAGAAAAAGTAGAAAAGACTAAGGTTCGAAATAGGGATTTAAAGTGTTGGAGATGTCAAGGGGTAGGACACTATAGTAGAGATTGCCCAAATGCAAGAATTATGACCATCAAGGAGGGAGAAATTGTTACGGATGACGAGGCACATGACGACATAAATGAGGAAACTGATGAGAGTGAGGAGTTTAGTGAAGAGGACCCTACACATATATCTTTGGTTACTCGACGAGCTCTAAACACCCACATTAAGGAGGACGGCCTAGACCAAAGGGAGAACTTGTTTCAAACTCGGTGTCTTGTTCAATCTGTACCTTGTAGTGTTGTCATTGATAGCGGTAGTTGCACCAATGTTGTGAGTTCCATTCTGGTCAAAAGACTTAATTTAAAGACACAACCACATCCAAGACCCTACAAGCTTCAATGGTTGAATGATTGTGGGGAAGTACGGGTAACTCAACAAACTCTTGTTTCTTTTACAATTGGAAAATATGTTGATGATGTTTTATGTGATGTTGTATCCATGCATGTTGGAGATTTACTACTGGGGAGGCCATGGCAATTTGATCGTCGGGTAATGTATGATGGGTATGCAAATCGATACTCCTTTACTCACAACGGTAGAAAAACTACTCTTATCCCATTGTCTCCAAAAGATGTATTTATTGATCATTGCAAACTTGAAAAGAAAAGGCAAGAGGCTGATGCAAAAGCAGAGATTGAAAAGAATCAAGTGAAAAAAAAGAGCTTGAGTGAAAAGCAAGAGAGTAACACTCAGCCTAGAGAAAAAAAAGAGAGAAAAGCCAAATCAGTAAGCTTGTATGTTAGATCAAGTGAGGCTAGGAATGTTTTGCTCTCTAACCAGACTATTCTTGTACTTATGTGCAAGGGGTCTTGTTACTTTACTAACATGCTTAACCCTTCTTTGCCTAGTGATTTTGTTGTGCTTTTGCAAGAGTTTGAACATTTATTTTCCGAGGAGATGCCTAGTAGTTTGCCACCACTTAGAGGGATTGAACACAAGATTGACTTCATTCCTGGCGCGCCCATTCCAAACCGACCAGCTTATAGGACTAATCCAAAGGAGGCTGAAGAGATACAAAGGCAAGTAAGTGAACTCCTTGCTAAAGGGTATGTACGTGAAAGTTTGAGTCCTTGTTCTGTTCCAGTTATTCTTGTACCTAAGAAAGATGGTTCTTGGCGTATGTGTGTTGATTGTAGGGCTATAAACAAGATAACTATAAAGTATAGGCATCCAATTCCCAGATTAGATGATATGCTTGATGAATTGCATGGATGTAGTCTTTTTACTAAGATTGATTTAAAATCGGGTTATCATCAAATTCGCATGCATATTGGGGATGAGTGGAAAACAGCTTTTAAAACCAAGTATGGTCTTTATGAATGGTTGGTTATGCCTTTTGGATTAACTAATGCACCTAGTACATTCATGAGACTAATGAATCATGTCTTACGAGAATACTTAGGTAAGTTTGTGGTTGTTTATTTTGATGACATCCTTGTTTACTCTAAATCTTTAGATGATCATATTACCCATGTACGCAATGTTTTGACTACTTTAAGAAACGAATGTTTGTACGTAAATTTAAAGAAATGTAGCTTTTGCATGGAAAAAGTTAACTTTCTTGGGTTTGTAGTTTCATCTAATGGTGTTGAGGTTGATGAGGAGAAAGTAAAGGCTATAAAAGATTGGCCTACTCCGAAAAATGTAAGTGAGGTAAGAAGTTTTCATGGTCTTGCAAGTTTCTACCGTAGGTTCATTAAAAATTTTAGTACAATTGCTTCACCCTTGAATGAACTTGTTAAGAAAAATGTATCCTTTATATGGGAAAAAGATCAAGAACTTGCTTTTAATACTTTGAAAGAAAAATTGAGTTCTGCTCCCTTGCTTGCATTACCTAATTTTGAGTCTACTTTTGAAATTGAATGTGATGCTAGTGGAGTAGGGATAGGTGCTGTATTAATGCAAAATCAAAGACCTTTAATGTTCTTTAGTGAGAAGTTGACTGGTGCATCTTTGAGGTATCCAACTTATGACAAAGAGCTTTATGCTTTGGTTCGTGCATTGCAAACCTGGCAACATTATCTTTGGCCTAAGGAGTTCATTATTCATACGGATCATGAAAGTTTAAAGCATTTGAGAGTACAAAATAAACTCAACAGACGACATGCTAAGTGGTTAGAATTTATTGAAACATTCCCGTATGTCATAAAATATAAACAAGGAAAGGAGAACATTGTAGCAGATGCTTTATCACGAAGGTATGTCCTCCTCAATACTTTGAATGCTAGGTTGTTGGGTTTTGAACACATAAAGGATTTGTATCAACATGACATGTTCTTTGCTCCTTTTGTTGAATCTTGTGAAAAAGGACTCATTGTGGATAATTACTTGTTGTTAGATGGATTTTTGTTCCGAAAAGGCAAACTTTGCATACCATCTTGTTCCATCCGTGAGCTACTTGTGAGGGAAGCTCATGGAGGTGGTTTAATGGCACACCATGGAGTTTCTAAAACTTATGATATGCTCTCTGAACATTTTTTTTGGCCTAAAATGAGACATGATGTTCATAAAGTTTGTGGTCGTTGCATAGCATGTAAACAAGCTAAGTCTAGGCTTCAACCACATGGTTTATACTCCCCATTACCAGTTCCTAATGGTCCATGGATTGATATATCAATGGATTTTGTTTTAGGTTTACCTAGGACTAGGAAAGGTTATGATAGCATTTTTGTTGTGGTTGATCGATTTAGTAAAATGGCTCATTTTATTCCTTGTCACAAAACTGATGATGCTAAACATATTGCAGACCTGTTCTTTAGGGAAGTTGTACGATTGCATGGCATTCCTAAAAGCATCGTTAGTGATCGTGATGTAAAATTTTTAAGCCACTTTTGGCGTGTTTTATGGGGTAAGTTAGGAACTAAGCTAGTATATTCAACTACTTGTCATCCTCAAACGGATGGACAAACTGAAGTTGTTAACAGAACCATGACTGCTATGCTTAGGGCTATTATTGATAAGAATCTTAAGACTTGGGAGGATTGTTTGCCATTTATAGAATTTGCATATAATAGGGTTGTTCATAGCACTACTAAATGCACACCTTTTGAAATTGTTTATGGCTTTAATCCTTTAACCCCTATTGACTTGTTACCCATACCGTCAAAAGAGTTTGTGAATTTTGATGCAAATGCCAAGGTTGAGTTTGTTCATAAACTGCACAAGCAAGTGAAAGAACAAATTGAGAAACAAAATTCCAAGGTTGCCACCCGAATTAATAAAGGACGTAAGATTGTCATCTTCAAGCCAGGAGATTGGGTTTGGGTGCATTTCCGAAAAGAAAGATTTCCTACTCAAAGAAAATCTAAGCTTTTACCACGAGGAGATGGACCTTTTCAAGTTCTTGAGCGCATCAACGACAATGCTTATAAAATTGATTTACCAGGTAAGTACGGTGTTAGTGCAACTTTTAATGTTGTTGATTTGAGCCCTTTTGATGTAGGTGATGGCTTGGATTCGAGGACGAATCCTTCTCAAGAGGGGGAGAATGATATGAACCACGACCAAGGAATTTCCATACCTCAAGGTCCAATTACAAGGACGAGAGCCAAGAAGCTACAACAAACTTTATACCGTTATATTCAAGCTATGGTGAGCTCATCAAAGGAAATTCTAGAAGACGCTGGAGACCTCCCTTATATGTTGTGCAAAGTTGAGGTTCAAGAAAGAGATGAATTAAATGCACTTTAAGTTGCATTTAATGAACTCCGCTGAATTTATCAAATAGTCCAAGGATGACTAATAAGCACATTTTATTATTTGCATTATTTAATTATAGTTTAACTATTTGTTTGTCATATTTAAACTAGTTTTAAATATAGGAGTTAAGGTTATATTGTAACCCACATAGGTTACTATATTCCACCATTAACTAGCCATTTAAATATGGAGGTTATGGGTATTTCTCATTTACTAGCCCATTTAATTTGGGAGTTATGTATGACATAGGTTAAGGTTGTAAAGGCTATATAAAGCCTTCTTTTCTTTGATTAGACATCAGATTTTGGAATTAAGAATAGAATTTCTATTTTAGCTTTGTTAAGAGCTAAACTTTCTTTGCAAATTCTTGTGTTTAGAACTTGCATGTAGAGTCATTCAAGTGGTATTGATCAAACCTCTTGTGGAGTGATTCGAATCACGAGTTTAGAAACGAGTTTTCTTTACTCTTGATCTTGATCATCAAGGTAATCCGTTCCATACTTTCCCTTGGGTTGATTTCCATATCACTCTTTTTACACTCAGTTACACAAATGAAGCTCTCATTCTCCCCTCTCAAAATTTTAAATAGAGCAAAGATTGAATTTTGATCTCTGGGTCGATTAAAAACTAAAAAGGTGAAAATAAATAAAAATCAAATTGAGAAGAAATGCAGAGGAAACATATATCCGATCTGGAGCCTGAAGCTCCGATACCAAATTTTATGAAAATCAACCCAAGGAAAAGTATGGAACGGATTACCTTGATGATCAAGATCAAGAGTAAAGAAAACTCGTTTCTAAACTCGTGATTCGAATCACTCCATAAGAGGTTTGATCAATACCCCTTGAATGACTCTACATGCAAGTTCTAAATACAAGAATTTGCAAAGAAAGTTTAGCACTCAACAAAGCTAAAATAGAACTTCTATTCTTAATTCCAAAATTTGATGTCTACTAAAAGAAAAGAAGGCTTTATATAGCCTTTACAACCTTAACATATGTCATACCTAACTCCCAAATTAAATGGGCTAGTAAATGAGAAATACCCATAACCTCCCTATTAAAATGGATAGTTAATGGTGGAATATAATAACCTATGTGGGTTACAATATAACCTTAACTCCTATATTTAAAACTAGCTTAAATATGACAAACAAATAGTTAAACTATAATTAATGCAATGAATAAAATGTGCTTATTAGTCATCCTTGGACTAGTTTCATAAATTCAGCGGAGTTCATTAAATGCAACTTAAAGTGCATTTAATTAAATGTGCTTATTAGTCATCCTTGGTTCATATCAATATGTTTATGAAAGAATATGACTAGGTTATGTTTATCTAACGATATGACTGTGATGTGTTCACAAAGAAAATATGACTATGATATGTTTACGAGATGATAAGTCCATGATATGTTCATGATACAACGTGACTATGAGATGATACGTGAATGTTATGACACATGATATGATGATGTACTGATGATATGATAAATGTTATTGTATAACACGTTTGGTGATATAGTACATGATATGCTGATGATATGATGTATGTATGATATGACACAATGCATGATATGAATGATATACGACAAAAATGTGTGGACATAATGCACAACCGCAATTTATGTAAGGAAACTATGATAAAGATTATGATATGAAGGAAAAATGGAAGGGGTTGTCTTACATGATAATGAATAAAAATGTTGGGATCTCATGCATCATTGTGCATTCATGCATCCATGATATGAACCACGACCAAGGAATTTTCATACCTCAAGGTCCAATTACAAAGACGAGAGCCAAGAAGCTACAACAAACCTTATACAGTTATAGTCAAGCTATGGTAATCTCATCAAAGGAAATTCCCGCAAACATGAGTATTACATGCCTTTATAGGTCTAAAAGGTAACCCTAACATAATATGGTTCAGCCACCAACCACAAATTACTAATAAATGCTATGAAATACAAATTGAAGCAAATAAGGCATTAATAAATTTTCTTAATTGGTAATTCAACTACCAAAGGCAGTCTTCTTATTACTTTCCAATATCAGCCAATCCATTATCTTCTTGATTTCATATGCTAATGCTATAAAGATTTTCGGGCTCAAAAGTCTTTATTTCAACCGGTACACTAGCTAGCTTTTGAAGATGCAATGTATAGGCCTCTTGAATCTTCTTAACCTTGCTTCTTGTAATCGGTCTTTTGGGTACATGCAAAGGGTCAATAGTTGAATTCATAGCATCCTCCCTTTCTTTAAAAGGATTTGTCCTCAAATCAAGGTCTTCATTCCCTTCTTGATAATGCATCGTCGACCACATTATCCTTCCCCTTTTTTTAATGGATTACATAAGGAAACGTGATATGAACCAAGAGACATCAATCATACAATATGCTTCAATGAAGATTTGAAGAAAAGATTGTCAAAATTATCAAAAGATGTTTCAATTCATGCTACATTGAAGAAGAATAAAGTTTGATTGTTGTAAATTTTGGGTGGGTTATAATTTAGAGTAATTTAGAGTTATTGTATTTTAAGACTTTTTATTTAATTTCGGTTACATTTACATAATGGCTAATTATGGCCATAAAGTGTGAATGTTACAACTTTTGGAATGCCTTTAATAGTTTCATTTTGAGGCTATATAAAGCCATCTATGTTGTATTTGTATTAAGACTTAGAAGATATATCAAAAGAAGCATTTGTGCTTTTCTTTAGCCAATGGCTAAGTTTCTTTGCAACTCTATGTAGTTTAGGTTGCATGTAGAATCATTCAAGCTCGACATGATCAATCTTGCTTGTGGAGTGATTCGAATCTCAATCA